CTTGTTCTTTTGCCTCTCAAATACCTCTGGTTACAGAGCTCTGCCACTGGGGACTAGTATGAGCGTCCATAGTGCTGCGAATGGGCTCGCTTGTACACGGTGGTTGTTGTTGACGCACTTGGATGGCTCATTCCTCATCGATGGCGAGCCTGTTGAAGAGGAAGTGTGTATGGACTAATATAAAGGCCAATCAGCAGCACATTCACTTTGTTGTTATCCGCCATCTTGTGCCATTGAACCTTGCCCCCCCCCCCCCTCCTCCATTCACTCTTTGCTGTATCCAACGCCACGCAGGTTGTTGTGNCATCTCGTCTACGTTGAGAGCTCCGTCTGTGTGAAGCGGTTGCGAGTCTCAGCCTACTGCACCCCTGATCTCCCTATATTGTCTCATCTTGTGCTGATGATGCACATTGGCTCTCGTCGTGGGTGTTGATTACTGCTAGCCACTGATTCTTTAGTTGATCGATGTTTTTCTATGTTGCATACACTTCCACGACAATCACTTTTTGCAACAATGAAGTCAAAAATCCACCGAACAAGGTGCACAGAACAAATTGAAGAGAACACAGCTTCAACACTAGCTTACACTCCAGACGAATGTGCAGCAATCGATCCAGCTCACTGCTGCACTTATTTATGTCTCGATCACTTACGACTCTGTTTTGCAAATTATTTGCTATTCTGTTTCTCACCAAAAGACTGCAAACGGCGCAAGTTTACAAGAAATTACATTGCATTTCAAAACGTACATCCTCGGTTCTTTATATAACACTACTTACTGGTCTGTAGCCGGCTTTAATTTTGCTCCCTTTATCTTTTCAGTTTTTTGAATTACTTATGTTGAACTCTGTTTCTGCAGCCAATTTTGCGCATAAAACTGTATTACCGCTCAGTAACAAACCATATTAAAATATACCCTATAATTTCTATTTAAATCTGCCAGAAATGAAAAAAAAAAAAAAATGAAAAGAAACAAAGCACAGGGAGCCAAATCCAGAGGTATTTTGTCAGCTACTATTCACATCAACTCCATCTTCTTTTTTAAGACTGATAATCTGTTGCCGATACTAACGATGAATTTCTCAACCATGATTCTGTCCTCATTATCCAACTTACGCTCATTTGCTTGCTCACTTGAATCATCGTCTTCGTCTAATAAAGCTTCAAGCATCCAAATGGCAGTACTGTAGGCCAACTCACACCCCTTTAAGTCTTCTTTGACCAACTCGTTCACAGCTGCATTTCTCGACATCTCCAAAGCTCTATCAAAAATCAATCTTTCAGCTATAACTTTTTGGGTACCAGTTGCGCTTTCAGATATGGATTCAAGACCATCGGCCTTTGCGATAGCCGTATTTGCTTCCTTTAGACGCAACTTGATGAACTCAGCTTTTTCCAAACATTCGTTAAATTTCTCTCTTATCCATTGAACCAATTGGTTAATCTTGATAGACACACGCACGTCACGTTTGCCAGTGTTACTTTCACCATGATCAGCACCGACCGTTGCATTGTCGAACAGGTCATACCACCACTCGCTGGCTACAGACATCCCTCTAGCCAAAAGAGACAAAGCTTTGACATAAAGCACAATGCCTTCTTCACATATAGTGCGAACAATTTTTGGCGGCAAGGAATCATTGTGGTTCAAAAAATCGTGACCCGCATCATCAGACGAAGGCGGACTAGGAATTAATTGACTAAATTTCACATCCGCGAACAAATTGACGGCGTGTGACTTTGTGGCAATGGTTTCCAACTTGTTCAAAACAATTTCATCCGGAGAAAGAGTTTTTTCATCTCCGCTTGCTGATGAACTAGCCAAAGTAGCCGAGATGGGGAGGTTCAACTTTTGCAAGAGATCATTGTTGGTAAAATTGGGACTAGACATCACATTCGAAAAAGTTGCAGCGTCAGCTTTATCAGTGCCGTCTTGAAGATCACCTACACCTTCTGAAACACCAGCATCATGTGATGTATGGTTTAGAATCAGTGCATGATTTCCACCAAAAAGCCGATGCAGGGCAAGACCAATTGCTTTGCTTAAGGCGTTGGTGGGTGATATAGAAATGGATATACGACGGTCAGTAAAGCTGGGCCTCCGTTGGTACCCACCACCAGATGAATTCTTGCGAATTCTTTGCAATGGGTGGTGTTGTGTTTGTTGTGTTTGTTGTTGTTGTTGCTGTTGTAGTTGTTGCTGTTGTTGCTGTTGTTGTTGTTGCTGTTGTTGGTTATTCTTGAACCTGTCACTGTTGAGATGGTCTCTAGGATCCCTCATTGCATCAGCCCCAGTACCGGCACGAGCAAGTTCATCTGCGACCGCGTTAACTTCGACAACCCTTTTCTCGACGACAACGTAGTCCTTCTCCAAAATGATGTCTTCCGTTCCCAGTTTGAAATGCGCTGCGTTATTGTTTGCTATCGAATGACTGAGATGTTCGGGATCGGGACTGTTTCTGTCTATCAATCTTTTGATGTCATCGTCGCGGGAGGATCCACTTTTGCTAGCTTCTTTCTGATACCCTTCTCGAATAGTCTCATCGTTCGTGACATCTTCCCTGCCTCCATCAATGTCATTTGGGGCCACCATCGTCCCGTGTTGTCTAGTATCTTCCGCATCGGCTCCATCAAGCCCAGCCTCGTTACCAGTCTCATCATTTGTAGCCTGTGCGTTATGGGTGAAAGCTGGTGTCATGGGAGCTATAGCGTCATTCTTGCTCAATTGAGATCTCTCTGATGGTTTAAAGGGACTGATATATTCGCTGATAAACAAATCCTCATTCATATCTGAAGTATCCAACGGCTTGTCTGTGTCCTCCAAATCACAGGTGATCAAATCGTCATTGAAAAATTCTTGAAATGATATTCTTTCCGTGGGGTTGTACTTTAAAAGAGATCTTATCAATTGTTTCAAAGACTCGGGAACTTCAGCAGCCGAGGGGAACTTGATTTTGTCGTTGGCTTTTTCTATATTTTTCAACAATTCAATGTGGTTGCTTGCTCTAAAAGGTGGCTTACCAACTGCCATCTCGTATAGTACAGCTCCAACCGACCACAAGTCCGCTTTGGCATTGTACTTTTCGTACCTCAATATTTCCGGCGCCATGTAAAGAGGAGACCCGCAAAGCGTTTCTGCCATCGAGGTCGAGGGCAAGAAGCGAGCAAATCCAAAGTCTGCAATTTTCAAAATAGGTAATTCCCACATTCCACTATATTCCCCATTGACAAACTCTTGTTTGGAATGTAGAGGGGGGCACAAAAGTAGATTCTGTGGCTTAATGTCTCGATGTACCAAGCTCTTTTCCCTTAGGAACAGTAGGGCTGAAGACAATTGGCGAAGAAAATGTAGTATCAATACTTGGTTCAAGCCATGAGAATTTGGTGGCGAGGGATATCTTTGTAATAAACTTGAAATCACAGGATGAGTCTTTACTAGTTGACTTCTTCTGCGTATAAAGTAAGATAAATCTCCCATTGAGCAATAATCCATAACCAAATGGAAGTGAGCAGAAGTTTGTTTGTAATCAAGTAGACCCACTATATGGGGGTGCTTCATTGTTTTCAAGATTTGAATTTCAATCTCCAAGTTTTCCACAAGCTTCTTTGATTTCAACTTGGAGCGATATACTGATTTGATAGCCACTGGTTTGTTGGTGGTTGTGTCCTGACCTTTGTATACGATAGCAAACGAGCCCTTACCAATCTCGCGTCCAATGGCATACACACCAATGTAATCAGATTTTCCAGCAGCCATAGCTGCATTGGAAGTCAGACTGGCTGATAGAGTAGATGTGGCGTTGCTAGTGGTTGTGGTAGTCGATGCTGAAACTGCTCCAGATTGTACTGGGGCCGCCTTTGTCACGCGGTCATTGTGTAAAGGGGGGTGATGATGACGATGGTGGTCATGCAGTGGCGCGGTGGTTTTCATAGTGGTTGTAGCTGTGGCTGCGTTGGGCAAATGAAGTTGGGTGAGGCGATTACCAATACCTATGGGCAAGCTCTGGTTGTGCTGGTGTAGTGGGTTGTTTTGGAGTACTGATTGTTGTTTATGGTTGTCAGACATTCAATTAGGCAGATGGATAGAGATACGTGAATATTTGCGTATGTGTGTGTGTGTGTGTTGTGGAGGGCGGGGGTGGAAGATAGATAAAAGTACCGTGTACTGTGGTGATTATATGTGTGGGATACTGTTATTGTTTGTGCAACTGCAGACACTACTAATATGTGTATGTGGGTAGATGGCTAGATGGATAGAAGGTAATGGCAATATATGGGGGAAGGGTAGGGTATGAAAAGGTTGGCGATTGGTTGTAAAGTTGGAAGAAAGAAAGAAAGAGAAGAAGGATTAAAAAAACCAAAAACCAAAAAACAAAAAACAAAATAGTGTGTATGTATATATAGTGTGTATGTATATTTAATGTGTATGTTTATGATAACGATTAGAAATCCATTACAGTGTATATAGTGTATATAGTGTGTTATCGTATTATACATACATACATATATACATACATACATACATACATACATACACATGTTTTCATCCTGCATATAATACCATATACTTTTTCTAACCTTTTTCCTTTTTTTTTGTGTTTGTGGACACTACCTGTGTACCATTTTATCTATACATATATATCATAATTGCATATAGTCATAATTCATTCTTTATGTATGACTACATAAAATGTGCATCTACAAATACACACACACACACATATATATATATATATTCTGTGTACTCCCTTAGTTTGTATTTGTATGTGGATTAGTCATTCACATTATATGTATCCTTTCAATCTGTTTCTGATTAGATAAGAACAACCTATTGTGTAAACTTTGTCGTGACTCCAAAAAAAAAAGAATGCGACACGACACAAATGGCTAGTTAGCAATTTTATGTATGAGTCCAGTGCACCCCCTCCCCCTCCCCGTCCCCCTCTCCCTCTCTAAGTCCAAAATCTATATTAAATTTCTAGCTTAATAGAAAGGAGAGCCACTCCTTGCGGTCATCAGCATAGCTATGACATAAATTCATGTTTTACTAGATAATCAAACGCACCAAAACTTATTTTTTTGCAGCAGATTGAGTTAAATATATCTTATATGCAACCTTAACTACAAATCCGTATACTATAAAAAAGTCACTCGTAGTTGAGAGTGGAACAGAACCAAAGACTAGTGACCTGCCTTCCTTTATGAGATACCAAAAAGAAAACCTCAATATCATATAGTCAGCACTGCACCTTATTAACTGTGATTTCTAATTGCAGTATACATGTATGTGTTAAAACCAAACACTAACAAAGACAAGTACAGACTGCCGATTCTTACAGACCTCCGATTCTAAGATCTTAGGTGTAAAATTCAAATGACTCAACTACTTAACCAGAGTCTCTAGATGTTTCAACGCACAAATTCAGTGTCAACGATGCACTATTCACGCCACAACTTCACCGTTCCAAAAACTCTCTCTGCCAGCCACAGGCAACACAAAAAAAAAAATAAATATCCTGACTGTAGTTTAACATTGGTGCTCCAACATTCAATCCTCCTCCCCCCCCCCTTGATTACGACTCCCCATATCTACTTTCCCGACATGTCGGATTTCCATGGAACTATACAAAAGAGACATATCGACCAATTGGTACTTGAATATCTTATTCAGGAAGGATACGAAGAGGGGGCATTGGCATTCGCCGAGGAATTGAATGTGGACCTTGAACCTCAATCTAAACCACAACTAATTCCCACAACAAATGGTGATCAAGCAAGTGTCACAAGCTCAGGGCAGCATAGTCGCCAACAAACATTGAAAGGAAACTTGCAAAATCTCAGCAAGCTCCCTGATCACGAATTTTCTGACGTTATCTTGAATTATTATAGCAGCAGCAGCAGCAGCAGCAGCAGCAATAGCAACAGCAACAACAGCTACAACAACAACAACAACAACAACAACAATAGTAATAATAACAATGACACTAGTGGTAACCACAACAGTTATGCCAACACCCCATCAATTTATAATCGAAACGCCAAGTTTACTTCCGGGTATTCCACAATTAGTCAAAGACAGGAAATCAAACGATTGATTTTAAATGGAGAAATCACATCAGCAATCACCAAAATCAGTCGATGGTTCCCAATAATTCTTGATTCAAACAACCTCCTCCATTTCAAACTATTGCGCCTTAACTTGATCGAGATGATTAGAAACCACAAGTTCTCCTCACACCTGGAATCCGATGAACGAAAGTTTTTGAATGACATCTTGACATTTGTTCGACAAAATTTAATCAACAAGATATCAAACCTGCACAAGCTATTGAAAGAACTCGAGTTCACAATGAGTCTCTTGTGTTTTAGATTTGATCCTTTGGTGCTGGATTTAGAAGATCAAAAGGAATTGCCGTTAGAATTGAGGAATTTCTTCAACAAGAATATCCGAAATCAAGTATTCCGATTGGTTAATAAGGAAATCTTGGACATGTATGAGGTAAAGTCACTTTCCGATTACGATAAAGGATATGACAATGATGACCTCATAGATGAGCTCAGACTCAAAATTGAGTATGGGAATGAGACACCCCCCATGGGTGGAGGCGATGCTGGCATTTACGACTCATCACCTAAACCAATTGTGTATACGGGCCCTGCCTACGAAAGTTTTTCATTTGAAAACACTGCAAATATCCAAGATGATATGGATGAGTTTGAGTCTGATTTTGAGGATTTGGAAGAAGGAGAACAAGAAGATGAAGGTAGGGGATGGGACCAACTTGTTGATGTCAATCCTGGACAATCAATTGCAAAGACGTCTCCATCAGAGGTTTACAAAGGAGAGAAGGTGATTCGAAAAGACGCGAGCTCAAAGAACGAGGATGAAGTTGAAAGTTTACTTGGATTAGCGATGGAGAGCAAGTTGGAGAGTCTTGTCAAGTTATTTGTCTTGACGGAAAAGAAACGGCAATCTTTCGAACTGTCTCCTTCTCGTAAAACTTTTGAAATTAAAGAAGGCAGTTCAATTCTATGATATAAGTTATGAAAATTGACATAGTAATGTGTATTATACAGTTCTGCAGCTTCCCTTTAAACTCATTTGCTTCATAATATAACAATGGCATCAATAGTGTTGCCCGTCTCAATATTGCACTTACTCAAGTAGTTTTCGTTTTCTTCAATCGGTACCTCCTTGTTTTGGTTATTGAATATCTTGACATCATTCGGCTCAATGCTAGCTTTTTCATAGTTTCTATAAAGTTCCGACTCATTAAATAGTTTCAATATCTTGGTTCTCAAGTGCAAAATCGTGGACCCAAATTCCGGTTCCTTGTTCATTTCGAAATCATCCGGACTAAACTCGAAATAATACTTGACAAACTTGTTCAATTTAAACAATCCTTCATTCAAATCATTCAATTGTTTCCAATAGAGAAAATTGTGGTACCTTGATTTGTTTTTGATGTCGTAATACTCTTTCAATTGCGATTCACTAGATCTATCAATGATATTCAATCGGATATTGACGTGAGCGCAATGGATCGGCACCTCGGTAAATACATCCTTGGCATGATATTCCCATAATCCCAAATAGATGCCACTCCAGTAAACGACCTCATAACTCAATAGCCCAATAAATGTCAAGACAAGAATTTCAGTAATAAATTTTGACGTTGGAGTAATCAACAAATTCGATGTGAATGAATTTGCCCCTAGTTGACTCGTGAGGTAAGTGTCAAATTTGTATAGTAGTTCAATCAACGAAGGCATTACTATAATCAAGAATGGTGCCTGGAAATTCGAGGGGGACCAAATGAATTTTACTCAAGTAGTAAGTTTTGTAGTTATAATCTAATTAATCTGATGGTTGAAAAGCACCACCCAACAGAAACAGGCCAATGTCGTATATTATTATTTTTCGACACTAACTGATCCGACATCGAAAAAAAAAAAAAAAATCTTTTCCTTTTTTTCAAGAAAATTAAACAGAAGCAAATGAAGCAAATGAAGAGAGAGGGGGAGAGAGACATTGCTTCCAATTAGCTACTGTATTACAAGACAACTTCACATTTGTATCAACAAAAGTTCCAACTATAAGGAGGGACAGAAAGACCGTATGGATAACAGAGAGAGGTACAAGAAATATAGAGAGAGCCAGTCTGGTCATCCAGGCAGCACTCGCCAAAGCTCCTCAACGTTGACTACCAAACTAAAAAGCATCTTCAAACCTTGGAATAAATCGAACTCAAATGAGGGGGAAATTTCATTCAGTGGCAGCAACACATCACATTCTACCAAAAGCTCTCAACTAGAGCCAAAGTTTTTGGGCTCACCGACATTCAAATTGCCTGGCTCGTTTTACAATCTGCAGCCAGAAGAGGTGTTTCCTCATGCAGCAAAACTACCACAGCAACAACAACAACAACAACAACAACAACAACACCCTGCTCCAGTACAGCAAGCATCTCTAATACACTCACCGTCTAACGTTGCTGACAAAGAGGAAACAGCTGATAACCCAAATGATATTTTATCTGCATTTTTTAGAGAGAAAGGTGACAGTAAGCTTACTGATGTGGAGTATGAGGGTGTTATCGCATTGATGTCAAAATCAAAGATGGGTACACCTTACAAACGACCAATGACAGAAATGAGCTTCACTGCCGAAGAGCCTTCTTTCAAGAAAAGACACGTGGGAAATGACTCCACTATGGTTGGGAATCTGACTTCAATAATTGGATCGACACCATCCAGACCAAAAGCTTTCAAGATGAGTGGAAACACCACCATAAATGCACCAGGGTACACTCCAAGGTACAGCAAAGTGTACAACGACACTTTCGACAGGTCTTACCTGTTGATTAATAATACAACAAGAGGCAGTATCGGCTCATCATCATCAAGGAGAGTGATCTCGAGATCTAGACGTCCAGCCCCGTACAAAAGCAGGATTAACACTTCCATACTATCTCATGCAGCGGGTGATGAGAAGTCTGCCAGGGATGACAATACTCTGAACATCCACATTATCAATGCCAATTCCGATAAAAGCCACAATTCTAAACTGCCCAGCAAAGCAGCTCAAACTTTGTTGGACATATTGGATGGGAAGGACAAAATCGATGGCACCGTCAAAGATAATCAACCACATCAGAATGAGAAGCTCAAATTGTTTATCAATCCTTACGGATCAGGTTCGGAGAGACGACAAAAGAAGGGACCAGGTGGAGTATCTCAAACGCCTGGCGTAACTGCCCTGACTATTGGCAAAACCATATCTTATAGCAAGGCGGATCCCTTACCAAAAGAATTTGAACCGGCAGGGAATACCATACCTGAGAGCTTTACTGATGATTCAAAGGGAAAGGAAGCACTGGGCCAAGCATCTACAGAAGAAGAATTTTCAAAGACAAGCAAACCAATTAGCTTAAACGGAGTTACAAATGTCAAAGACAACCATGTATCATCCACCACTACCTCAACCACAAACCCATTTGGAACAATTAACTCACATATACCGGCGTCATTCACGTTTGGTAAGAAGGACCAATCTGACATTGGAGACTCTCAGAAGAATGTCAGAAGTACAAAGGGTGAACTTCATGTCAATTTCAGTAATGGCGGAGGTTCCAACCCTGTCGATTCTAATCTGCAGGTGGAAACGACCCAGCCATTAAGCAAAATCTTCCAATCGAATGGAAGTAAAGCTAACACAACAGGAGAAAGGGCCTTTAAACAGAATCCAGTTGCCAACAGTAGCAATGATAAAGCACAGACTAGCAAGCCAAACAACTTGTTTTTTGGGAATATAGAAACGTCAACTACCGAATCCACAAGCCAGTCAGACGCTAAAGAGAGAGGAGACTTTACAAACCTAACGAATGGCTCAAGCCAGGAGGACTCCACACCTTCCAAATTCTATTTCCCATCGCCGCAGCTTGTCACATATGACTTTGACGACGCAGAAGTCGACAAATACAAGTCAGTATTTAGCTTTTGAAAGAGACTGTGTACTGTATACATGAGGGTATAGATATAAGTTACATCATTTCCTTTACATACTCTAGACACCCCCTTTTTTTTTCTTTCGCAATAAAACAGCATCAAGCATAAAAATTCACCGATTTGGACTTTCTTGCTTGCACTTCACCGATTGCTTCGACAAAATCTTCGTGTCGAATGATCGATTTTCCATTCCTCAAAGCAATCATACCCGCCTCAACAGTAACAGCTTTCAATTGAGCGCCATTGAATTCATCCGTTGATCTGGCCAATTCTCTCCAATTTATTGATTCATTATCACAGTGCAACTTTCTAGCATGTATTTTCAACACCGATTCTCTTGCTTCCTCTGATGGCAATGGAAACTCAATTTTACGGTCCAATCTTCCTGATCTCAAAAGAGCTGGATCCAAAGTATCAACTCTGTTTGTTGCCGCCAATACCTTGACTCTATCATCTGAACCAAATCCATCCAACTGATTCAACAACTCCAACATTGTACGCTGGACTTCTCTATCACCACTTTTGTCTGAATCAAATCTTTTGGTACCAATTGCATCTAATTCATCAATGAATATAATCGTCGGGGCCTTTTCCTTTGCTAAAGCAAACGCATCACGAACCAACTTAGCACCATCCCCAATAAACATCTGAACCAATTGCGGAGCAGCCAATTTCAAAAACGTGGCACCCGACTGTGCTGCACACGCCCTTGCCAACAACGTCTTACCGGTACCTGGCGGACCATACATCAAAGCACCTTTGGGTGGCTTGATACCCAACTTCTTAAACTTATCGGCTTGCTTCATAGGTAAGACAACAGCTTCAATCAACTCTTCGATTTGGTTGTCCAAGCCTCCAATGTTTGAGTAAGTTTCCGTTGGTTTCTCATCTAGCTCCATTGCCTTCACTCTTGAATCGTACTCTGATGGTAAAGTATCTAAAATCAAATATGAATCTTTGTTAACACCAATCAAATCATTTGGCTTCAACTTCTCGTGGTCAACCAAACCAATCATTGGAAGGAATATAGTTTGCCTAGTTGAAGTCTTGATAACTGCTGATTTCCCTGACCGTGCTGCATCAATGTCAACATTGGCTCCTTGCTCACTCGCTTCCTTATCGACATCTAGGTCCAATAACTCAACAACGTTTCCAACCAAATATGGCAATTGCTTGTTGTTGTTTATTTTGTCTTGATTATCTTTGATTCTCTCCAACATCATTGTCTTCTCATGCGTGAGACGTTGAGATTCTGACCTCATAACCTTGATATCATTGTCTAGCAATTTGGTCCTATTTATTATATCCGAAGTCGATGACTGTAGAATTTCCAAATCGAAAACATCGTCCTCTCCTTGATTGGCCTCCAATTCTTCCAATGTTACCATAGTTGATCTTTAATGGATGTGGGATATACTGACTGACAGGTGGATTGTACTCAAAAAAAAAAATAAAAAAAAAAAAGAAAGAGAATACAAAATAGTGGCCAGTAAACTCAAACTAGATTGTCTTAAACAATAAACGTTTAGTAGTTATCAAGCAATGCTTAGTGTTGATGGGTGTGAAAACTAGCGTAAGTCTCTAATCGGGAGGCTGAATCTGTTCCATACAAGTTGAAAAATAGGATTTTCCTCACACTCTTTATATATTTTTTTTTTGCCACTCATTCTCTCTCATTGACGATATTGGACATTGTCGTGAAAATTAAGAGTTTTGCGACACATGACCATGAACGCGACACTGAAATTTTGTAAGTAGATATAGAGTGCATATTTAATAGGGGAGCCATCTGCACATATGCTTAGAAGCAATTGGCTTTTAGTATAGAAAGTAGTTATTTGATACCTCATACAGCCATATACACAGTTTTACTTTTCACAGATAGCTCCCACTGTGCAAAGTTTTGAAGTTGTGAATGAAAATTCTCTTCTTTTCACTTTTTATCTCACGCGACTGCAACATTATACCTCCCCACTGCAATCCATCAATCTTTTCATCGCAATTAGCATGACAATACAGGTTTACCACGATCATCTGGAAGTTTCTGAGGAGGAGTTCCTTAAGCTTAAAAGGTTGGTGATTGAGGGTACGTCTACATAATTTGCTGTCATGTGTTTCATAGCACTACTAACTTTTCACTCCAATGTAGCTAAAACCTTGTCATATTGCCCTTACTCCAAGTTTAGGTACGTTTTTCCAACTCCACAACGTGTCCAAAACGTTTTATCAATTGCAACGACTAACAAATTACTTTTCCATAGAGTTTCATGCTGTGTATTAACCGATTCAGACGATTACATCACCGGAGTGAATGTCGAGAACGCGTCATATGGTGCAGGGGTCTGTGCCGAAAGAGCAGCTATTACAAGAGCAGTGGTATGTGTTTGATTCACTAGACCGACTTCCCTTTTTTTTATTTTTCTTTCACGTTGTGGATCGAGGTGTGAACGTGTAAGGAGCCATTGGACGATAAACAATAATACTAACAACTGCCTACCTTTGGTGTCCAGAGTCAAGGTCAACGCAAATTCAAAGCTATTGCCATTGCAGCAGATACACCAAAACCTATTGTACCTTGTGGAATATGCCGGCAGTTTATTCGAGAGTTTAACGAAGATATCCCTCTTTTTCTTTTCAGTGAAACAGCAGACTACTACAAAGTCTACTTAAAGGATCTTCTCCCCTTGAGCTTTGGACCTGGGGACTTGGGTGTCGAACTCGAGTAGGGAAGGTGAATGACTATTTTTAGCATTGTATATATTTACATGCAATATCTATTCGCCGAGCTCTATGAGCGTGGAAATTGTAGTATAGTGTTGACCACCTCAACAAATAAGTATTGACCACAAAGCATGCGGATACCACTGGTTGATGATTTGGAGCACATTATGCAACGACCTAAACGAATCGTCTAGAAAAGAAGGTCTAAATGAAGTCTTGTTATATTCTCTATTGATGAAAGAAATGACAAGAAATCGTTTTCCACTTTGCGACCAGAGCCATTGTTTGCCGTCCAATTTCCGGCGCTCAGTTTCGATCATCCATTGGTCAACGAGGCATCGAAGAGTAACCCAGCCCCCACGTTGGCGAAAAATATCTCAATGAATCAAGGAATGCAAGAATTGAATATACAGCTGGATACAAGCTTCCCATTGAGTTGTCCATTTCACTCGGCCCTGATCATGCATTGAAGACAGCCTTTGAAGACCCTACTTATGTTGCCCCTATTGGGCTTAGGAGCATGGACCAGGTACTATTTTGAGGTGAACTGCATATGATACAAGGGGCGTGGAACGTACACGAATCCAATCAATTAAGTGTACAGGTTATTGGTTCGAAGGATCCACCATTGGGCGAAAATTCCATACGCTGAAATCGGGGATGTTATTTACAGGGACAACACACTTCAAGAAGTGTTGGAAATCCTCCAGATATATCAGGGGCCCCGGAAAAGATGCTGCAAAACCCCAAAGATTGACCAAACTTGGAACTGGAAATGCTGGTACATTGGCTTGAGAAAATGGCCAATCATCAGGGTATACCAATAACCATCATAAAATTGTGGTCTTTTACAATCTAATAAAACGTTTGGAGTAAGCATGACTTGTTTGGGTCCTTAAATTGTCCCGTGTTGATTGTGCTTTGCAGTGTTACTTCTTTCGAATCAAAGATGGACCAGTTCGTTTGGGATTGAGGATCAAATGCCCATTTGTTTGATTGGCCAATGGGTTTCCACTGAGGAAGTAGGGTACATGTGAGTGCATTAGTTGAACCACGAATAGAGGATGAGAAGGAATCAAAAAGGCTTTGAGCAACCTATGCGGAGGCGGA